GCTATGGTGTGTCTGGAGTATTCACAGGCTGAACAATGGTTTTAAGGGACAAGCTCAGGGTTCACTAACCCAGCAGCAGCTCCTGGATGCCTTGGACAGGAGGTGGTCTGCAACCATTTCCTCTCTTGAAGTGCCATTCCACCAGGAGGAGGGAGTACATCTGTCCTGTCCAGGTAGCACATAACAAGAGAGGCAACGGTACCCTAATTGCTCCTGGGTAAAAGGCACATGACACACAATCCCTGGATAGGGCAGTGCAGCTTGGAGGATTAGGAGCCTTTGATTTCTACCCTATCAGACCTTCAAGGCGATGGCGTCTCATGAGGCTTTTCCCAAGGTTGTGATGAATTTTGTGTTGAGAATCTGAGCTTCACCTTGCAGCCCTGCTGCAAGGCAAAAATATCAGTGGTTTCATACACACCACTGTGCATGGAAGGACTGGTCTGATTTGACTGGTGGAAAACAGCTATTCTCATGTTTCACATCCTCTGTGCATCCCCTTTCTATACCAGTCAGAAGAGCTTTTAAGATCATGGCTTTCAACAATGTCATGAGAAAATTTGGGAAATACCAAAGCCCGCAAAAGAGGAAAGACATTGTAAAGCTAGTTTGCACCTTCTGTAGCACAAAAGATATTGATCCCTTCTGCAAAAGATCCCAGAAGCCCTTTACAGATATCATTTAAGCCCTACCACACCCCTGTGTGCAAGCTATTATTGCTGTTTGGCAGATGCAGGTACAGAAGGGACAAATGACTGCACGATGTCAGAGTGCAACAGATGCTGGAGTGCCACTTGATCTCTCTGAGAAGCAGATCTCAGTACTGCTTCTGAAGGGGGTTCCAAACCACTGCCATTTCCATTAGCAATGCTGAATTCTGGCCAGATGCAATTGAAAACAATTTCGCTTTGGGGACCAAAACACCTGCTCTTACTTATCGGCCTGTGGTTTGTTACAGAACTTCCTCTTCTCAAGCTGTGTGCAAGGACAGCTGGAGGTGGGCACACCAAGGCAGCGACTCATGTACCAGTCATCGCTTCACGGCATGGCAGGCAGAGGAGCAAAGGCCAAATTCGGCTTTCCTTCACGATGATGTAAAGCAGGGGCAAGTCACGGAGTTATAGCAGTGTAAAACCAGTACACGTGAGACTGGAATCAGGCCTTGTTATTCTGAAGGTTGAAGATACCAGGCTAAAAACCATACCAAATTCAGTTCCTATTAGCTCAGATTTCAAAGAACTTCAAAGCCCTGGTTCTCATGAAGATTATCGTTAAGCAAAGGATGAATTGCATAATGCTGTGCCATTAATCACATTGTTCTGGGGTTGAGAGCGGGAGTAACTCATAGAGATTTATTAGTCTCCTCAGTGCTGCTGCTGGTACTTATGAGTACTTGAATCACCGGACTAGCTTTAAGGAGTCTTGAAAAGTAGGTAAATGCTGCTCTCTTCATGCAAGAAGCCCACATCCAAATCAAACACTTAAAATATATACCTGACCTTTTATTTTGAACTCAGATCCTCAGTACATTCCCAGCTCACATTTTTCTCTGCAGTTCCCAGAGACTTTGCTCCATTAAATTAGGAGAGATGTTCCCTGACCACAAGCTGCTATTGTCACATTACTCCATGACTCAGGGGTGTAAATAGGAGCTGCTCCATTGACTTCAGCAGACTCCCGTCAATGTACTCTATCTACAGGTCTGGCCTGTTGTCTAAAGGTGGATGATTAACTCCGTGTGTGCTCCTTGCTGCTATTGTGGTTAGCAGGGGTGCAGCAGGACCAGGCCTATGCAGTGTGGAAGGGTCTTTCTCAAGATATCCTGTCTTGGGAGAAGCAGGTTTCACATTGGATTTGGTGTGGATGCCGCCAAGCATGTCCTACTCACCCTGCTGTAAGTGCAGCAGGGAAGTTGATCTGGGGGTTTTCCTTGTGGCTGAAGCCAGCCAGAACAGCACAAAGCCTCGCAGAGGATGCAAAACCCAGACGAGGAGGAGGGTAAATGCTCAGGCAGCTCATGCTGAGCACTCAGCTCTCAGCTACTGTGATTACAGCAGGAGCCAAGCTAGCGAGCACACTGCCAGCCCAGCCATATCACCATGAGTTGCTGTCATAGCACTGACTCCAGTATAGACATACCCGCAAGTTAAACTCCGATTCATTCCCCCAGCACTACAAAAACATGCCTCTCTCTCTGGCTGAGCTTCCTGTGTGTCTCCATAAGGCTCCCTGTGTCTCCCAGCCTTGAGGTTTGTAAAGGCTGTCACCAATACCTTAGTTCAGTGATTCTCAACCGCGGTGCCAAGGCATTTAGCACTGTTAGGTGTGCAAAATGATTCACAAGATACACCCAGAAGAGATTTCGAACAGGAGCCCATAGTGTTAAAAAATTCTGCCCTGTTGTGGTCTTTCTGAGTCCTTTACAAGAGAACGACTGCTCCAGGATTCTTCTGTAGCCAAAAACAAGTGAAAACTAAGGGGGTTTGTGCACGTGATGATTTGACCGTGTAGACATGACGAAAAGTGACGGAAACCCACCTTTTGTCTAGCATAATGGCATCACCATGTACACGTGCACTAAGAGCTACTATTTTTCAAGGGGTGCCTTGCATCTAATGAAGAGTGCCTCGAGTCTAATGTGGATGAGAACCACTGTCTTACTCCCTTTGCTCTGCTGCTGGGTATTTTCCACCCTGAACTTTTTGCGGAGAAGGTGGAGAAAGTAGCTTTCCCCAGCTCCAGCCACCTCAACTGTCCCAAAGGGGATTCCACCCGAATGGATTCCCACTGCGGTATAACGCCCACCACTCGTCTCTGGTCTGGCAGAGACATGCTCTGACAGTGATAGACAATGGCTGGATCCATGTGCATGGAGGCAGGGCATAATGCAGCAGTTTCATAACCGTAATTTATATGTTGCAGAGAGACCACTTCCCCAAACTGCTAAACCTTCACTTTTTATAGTGGGCTAGATCAAAAAGCCAGACCTAAGCAATCCTAGATTTTGAGCGGTACTGAATCCAGACCTTAGTTTTCCAGTGGGGGCCCAGCTGTAGTCTTAGCTTAGCATATGCTGAGTGACCTCCTTTTATAGCTGCTGCTTTGGCCTTCTCTAGCATCTTCTATTGGAGGATCACTGAGCACTTTACTAATACAAAACCATTTAACACCAGAGGTCCCCAAGAGGGAGGGAACTATCTTTCTTCTTATGTATGGGGAAACTGAGGAACAATAAGCTGAAATGACTTGGCCCCGGGCATGCAGCTTGTCAGAGCATTTGCTAGGAAGAGAACCCAGGAGTCCCAAATCCTGCCTCCCCAGTCTGCCTCTCTGTAAAATACAAGAATGGACCAATTACCTTTACAAAGGTGAAGCGTATTGCCCCTCCATTAAATGATATGGTCATCACTGACTCCCCCACTACACAGGTTCCAGATATTTGAGTCATGTTGGGATCAATATTGAAGTAGCCCACATTCCTCTGTGAAGAAAAAAAGAAATATCCAGTGCATCTCAGTGACATTTTAAGTTGATTAAGAAATAAAGACATTTAAGTGTTTTCTAAATTTATGGGTGCCTATACATGTGTTTGGGGGTGGGGGAGGGGGACATTTTAATTAGAGCGGTTCCTGGAGAACCGTTCTAATTAAAACACCACTGCATCATATGTATTAAGACCCTGCACGTTTAAACATGGAAGTGGGATGCTTTAACTAAAGCTCATTCAACGAGCTTTAGTCAAAGCACCCCGGTGGCCATTTTTAAACCTGTGCTGATTTATATATGTGATGCTGGGTCTATGCTAGAGTTTTAGATCGATCGAGTCTGCTCCAATGGGTTCTAATTAAAACGCATCAGAGCACGTGTATAGGCACCCTGTATGGTTGCATCAATAGCTCTGTAGCTGGCAACAATGCAAGAGACTTGGGCTTCGCTGCCAAGTCTAATGTCTTGTTCCTCGTCTTAGCATGGCCTTCTCCGATTCATCCCTAAGGGTACTGTGGTTTTGCCTCTAACTTCATTTCCAAGCCCCAGATTGTCATCTCCTCCAAAGCTGAGAACATACGGTTCACTAGCTTCAACTTAACTATATGAGGACATAATAAAACACCTGTGTTGTGTAGGTCAGTGGAGTGAGTCATTCTGTCAGCTCAGGTGGTAACGAGTGTCATTAACTAGCATCCAATTCTAGGGAACGGGAACACCACTTAGATGGATATTGCATAATTAATTTTACAACCTTAACCAATGGGGATCATTTTGAAGGGGTTAGAACAAAATCAAACTAATGGAGACACGTTGCAACAAGCCTCCTGTAGATCACGTAGCTGTTTGGCACTTAGGAGTATTGCAGCTCACCTTCACCGTATTGTGGACGATCAGCCCCAGTCCCATCACTGCTAGCACACAGGTCATTTCTCCATCAGCGACACTGTAATTTCCAGTCTGGGGTGGTGATGGCTGAGGGGCAAGGGTAGGCGGTACAGCAGCTGTAGTAGCAGGCGTAGTGGCTTGGGTTCTTGGGTGAACAGTGGTTCTCTTGGTTGTGGCTGTAGTTTTTGTTGTTTTGTGAGTTGTTGTTTGATTAGTTGACTTTGGGGTTGTCTTTAAAGTTATCTTGGATGTTGCTGTAACATTTACTGCGTGACTCACAGTTTGGTTGACCATTGCAGTCGCGTTCTTAGGTGTAGTTAATATAGCGTGAGTTGTGTGGTTGGTCAGCTGGGTGACGTTAGCTCTTCCATCAGTCGTCATGTTGGGAGCTGATGCTATTGTTACCGGCTGATGGTTTGCTATCTGCATGGCAGTCTGTTCCTGTTTTGCTGTTCTTAGCAGTGTGGTTGTCATCAAACCTGCGCTGCTAGAGAGAAGCGTGTTGCTGGCGTCAGTGGAAGACTGATGATGGGAGGATGGCTGAGTGCCACGCAGGAAAGCTGGTTTGACCCCTGGCTCGGTAGTCATCGCAGCATTGTGGCCAGATAATAATGCTACAGAGAAGCAAACAGCTCATTAAACTAGCAACTTTCATTGCTATTGACACCTATGTTATCATCCGATTGATTTTGTAATAAGAAAATGTAATTATTTTATTCCCTTCCCAATCCTATTAATAATGCAAGAAGCAGATCCGCCATTCTGTAGAACAATTCATATTAAAGAATAATTTTATTACAATACACATACTTTCCCTAGAGATAGCACAGTGCCTGGAGACTATTGCAGCTTGGCACATGGGGAAATTTGGTTGAAAGGCTGGCACAGAAATGCCAAAATAAACTCCCAGTGGCCTAAATATGCTGGTGGCATATTACTCAGCTGAAAAGCAGCATGTTTTATCTTATTCAGTAGAGTGGTAATAGATTTAATTGAATTCATACCCCAGGTGTTCGCTAAAGAGGAAGAAGTCAGTGGGAGGTATGGATGTTCATAATTGCTCAGTGATCTCAGACTCTTTCCTAAGCTGGGGTGGTTACATGATTAGCTGCATTTGGATGGAAAGTTTGGGCAGTAATGAGGGTCATTAACTATCTCCTACTTCTGGGCAACAGGAATACAACTTAGACTGATGTCGGGTAATTAATTTTTGCAGCACGAGAACCTATGGGGATCATTTTGAATGAACGTAGTCTAATGACAACACTTTGTTACAAGCCTTATGCAGGTGTTTGGTGCTTGCGAACAGGTCACTGGAAGTACTGAGGGGCCTGGATTTACTGTCCCTTTGGCTGCAACTGTTGCTGACTGCTTTGGGGGGAAGAAGCTCCGGGGCCTGGGAGCCAAGCCCTCCTGCTGCAGACCGCCGCCGACAGCAGCATTTAGGGAAAGAGAGATGGGAGGCTGAACTAAATGTTCAAGGCAGGCCCTTCTGGACCTGGAAAGTGCTTGGCCTGGATGTCCCTGATAGCCCAGTCGTAGGTTAATTTAGCATTTGGCAAATGTATTACAATATCCACCTCATCTAGACGGAGAGCATTAGGGAGAAGGGACTGTATCTTCCTCTTAGTTTTACAGTATCCCGGCTGCAGTGCGAAGCCAGCATCAACTCTAGTATATCCGTGACGTTTTGCGTAACTGTTGACCTGTCCCAAGTATCGCAGTCCTCTGTGGGGACGGGGGTCTTAAAAAATGTTCCTTAGCTTGAGCATGCACATGCACTTGAGTATCTGTGCGTTGGGGCAGGGAAGCCTTGTTCCAGCTAGCCAAGGACAGTAGAAAGTGCTCATTTCCTCCCTATAGCCTGGGACCTCTGTTCAAGACTCACCTCACAAGGTACATGTGGCCAGATCAATTGTGAGACTAATACACAGCCATGTCCTAACCAGTTCTGGGGCCCAGCAGATGCAGCATGTAAGCTGGGGTCCCAATCACACTGCCTCTCCGTTCCCAACACACTCCTTTTACTGCTAAACAGGGTGGCGCGGGGCAGAGGACGGGGTAGGAGAGGTTCAGTATCGTCCCAGTACAGCAGGCGAGTTTTTTTGTGAGCAACTACGCTGTAAGAACGTGAAAACGCTGGTCCCGGCCACAGGCTCTGTCAAGGGAGAGGGTTGCAAAGAGGCATGGCCAAAGGGGCTATTCTAAACCAGGAAGCACCAGCCCCTACTTCAGCTCTTTTTAGGGAGAAAAGAGTTTAAATCATGATGTTATATGCCTCTTTGGCTGCAAAAATAAAAACACTCACAAGAAAAACATTCAAAAGGGGTAAGTTAGATATTAGGAAGGGGATGGGTTAGATGTTAAGAAGAATTTTCTCACTAGGAGGGCAGTCAAACACTGGAACAGGTTCCCAAAGAGATGGTAGAAGCTCCATCCTCGGAGGTTTTTAAGACCTGGCTAGACGAAACTTTGGC